TTACACCTTTTGCTGTTCATTAACCGCGAAGGGACTTTCAATCAAGCGAAACTGCATTGTCTTTAGCGCGAACGAACGTTCATTAACGCTTAGGGAGTTTCAAGAGCGTGAAGGGAGAATCATTAACATATTTAGCATAGACATGGACAATCATGCATAACTGGGCGCAGATTCATTAACGTTTTCAAACCTTCATTAGCCCATTATGTGCATTCAATAAACTACAACAAACATACAATACCAAAATACGGACATTTAATTTCGTCATAGTATTTATTTCTAGGATTTAAAGAGTGTTTAATAAGTGTGATATTTTACATACAAAAATTATCTTCATCCTTGAATATGCTCTCTATTTAAGCATCTTGGTAAATAAGTTTGCATATGGTTGCGGTAGAACTATTAACCCCCAATGTAGCGGCAACCGCTAGATAATCCTCGGCCGGGTCCTCATACGCTCTTACAAGACGCTCTTTCACTTCGCTCGAAATTCGATGTCGACGCGGAGGCATTGCATTCCAACTTTAAACAAGTCGTAGTAGCTGTAACGAGTCATATTTCATGCTGAAATTTGACTGCAAAAACTATGACGAAATTAAATGTCCGTATTTTGGTATTGTATGTTTGTTGTAGTTTATTGAATGCACATAATGGGCTAATGAAGGTTTGAAAACGTTAATGAATCTGCGCCCAGTTATGCATGATTGTCCATGTCTATGCTAAATATGTTAATGATTCTCCCTTCACGCTCTTGAAACTCCCTAAGCGTTAATGAACGTTCGTTCGCGCTAAAGACAATGCAGTTTCGCTTGATTGAAAGTCCCTTCGCGGTTAATGAACAGCAAAAGGTGTAAATACACGTCCCGAGCCTAGCTTGATTGCGTTTGACGATACTCCGTTACAGGTCTGCCGTTGGCTCAAAAAAGACCGGGGGTAATCTATTGAATTTGCTATGCTATCCTTATGACCTGCAAACCAGGAAACCAAACCGAATCGAGAAATAAGAGGGTCTCAATGAGGGGTACGCATCACGACTCACGGCTAAAAATTTCAAAAAGGCAATGTTGGGACTGTATTCACACTTTTATTCTCGTACTACGAGTGCTTATTCTTTTCGCTAAATTACAGTCATGCCKTTTTTCTCAATTTACAATCACCTTACCCCGAGCATAAGTAAACTAGTCCATTATCAACTTCAACTGATTAAAATGATGAATCAACAATGTAAAATATTCGTAAATAAGGATAAGTAGTCTTTTGCCGCCACACATTCCTCTTGATTCACCAACTCCTAGTCAAGCATTCTCATTCCTTCCATTCTGCTTAAGGTTTCACGTGCCACCATACGTCTCGGTCGCGGATCTTCACTTACTTCTCTCTGCTCAAAACACTCCGCTTAGGACCTGGCTCTTCTCTAACTTCAATGGGGAACAAMTTCTGCATGGTTCGGGACAAATTGACGTGTGTACCTTTACCCGCTAGCCTGATTATACCCCCTCTAACAATGCCGTCCCTCTCTTCTACCAATGTCTCTACCACTCCCATATTCCACTGGTTTCTATTCCT